ATTTTATATCAGAATCATTGTGGGTGGTATTAAAGGAAAACAATAACGTTAGGAGTACAAATCTGTTTTCCTTACGTTAGTGTTCCTGGCGCTAACACGGCAGTGGAAGGGTTAAAAACCCTTCTTTACTTATTTTGTTTTGAGCACCGAGGTTCTCTGCTCACCTCTCCTCCCCAGGAGTCATCATGAATGAAGTAGGGCATCCTCCAGCGGGGTCCAATCCAAGGAGTAGCTTTGAGGACCTAATGCGCATGAGCGGCTTGCTAAATCATATTTTACCAAAGCAGTGAATCAATGCTTTCCTGTGAGGCTTCAATGTCACGTGACCGAGTTCTACTTGGTCTGTGCAGCTGAAGCGCCCCTAGTGGTTGTCAGTATGACAGCCTCTAGAGGATTGGTAAACCTTCTCTTGGTCCATGCCGCTCTGATGCTTGTGCCTTAGCCGACGCTGGCTCTCCTCTCCTGCTGTATGCTGACGTTCGTCCAACATTACGTGTGCACACTCATACAGATGCGAACCCAGGGGGCAGAAATGCCCTGCACCTGCCTGTCTGGAAATTTTAAGGGGAACTAGCCCAAGTTACTTATGGGCTGAGCAGCCATTATATACCTTTACACCAATTACCCTAATTAGTTCCCCAAACTTTCACCACACACCTAGGCCTACTTATACCTCTCTTTGGCCTCAATTCCTTGCCCTGCCATGGTCTTTGTAGCCCAAGAGTGCATTCTGTTTCATTGTTTTTTCTGGTATCTGCGTTTGACTTTGTATTTTGGTTTTCCTTAATTCTGTTATCCTAAGGCCCGGTAATACATTTTTGTTTGTATATAGGGTTATTGTTCCATTGTTTGCAAGTTAGGGCATCAGTCATTGACAAGGACGAATTAACCCTGATATGTAAACATATGTAAACATTGCGGTTTCACAAAAAGTTTGAGAAAGGGACAAAATCATTGATGAAGGGACATGTCCATGCCCTGGAAAAAAAGGTAAGTAAATCTCTATCTCTATTTTCTACAGGGGAAGAGGCTGACTCTAAATATACACTGGGACACTATAGCTTTTGCGATATATGTTTGTATTCCTAACTCTATAGTGTTCCTTTAATACTTCAGCATTATATACCGTTAATAGTTTACTACTTTTTATTACTGCACTGACGCCTGTGGCATTTTAAGGAACACTCTAATTAATATATAAATAGCCATGTCCCGAACGGTTCGCCGAACGGTTCGCGAACGGTTCCCCACGAATGGTTCGCGAACGGTTCCCCACGAATGGTTCGCCACGGACTCATCATTGAGTAAACTTTGACTCATCATTGAGTAAACTTTGACTCATCATTGAGTAAACTTTGACTCATCATTGAGTAAACTTTGACTCATCATTGAGTAAACTTTGACCCTGTACCTCACAGTCAGCAGACACATTCCAGCCAATCAGCGGCAGACCCTCCCTCCCAGACCCTCCCACCTTCTGGACAGCTCACTAAGAATGCAGCTTCACAATGAATGTAAAATGGATGCTGTCCAGGAGGTGGGAGGGTCTGGGAGGGAGGGTCTGCCACTGATTAGCTGGAATGTGTCTGCTGACTGTGAGGTACAGGGTCAAAATTTACTCAATGATGAGTCCGTGGCGAACCGTTCGTGGCGAACCGTTCGGCGAACCGTTCGGGACATCACTATATATAAACAATGAAAAAAATTAAAAAAAACTATACTTTATTTAAATTAGATAAGCTCTTTTAAAATTTAGAATGATTTTTTATTTAAATAATCAAAATTGCCATCAGACTTATCTTTATTCCAGCACTTGTGCAGACTCATTGCAGTAGCTCGATCCTCCTACTGTGAAGTCATCGATTCTGATGACTTTTGTCCAATCAGATGCTTCTCTTAGAGAAGCATTGAAGGCACACATGGTGCATTATCGGTGGTTGCAGTAATACACCAATACAGTGCTTCCCTTCCTAAATTATTGGAAACAATGATTCTCTTAGAGAAGCATTAGCCATGTTTGGAATCATCAAGCTGTGTGTGATGAAGCTGAATGCTAAATATTTAAAACATCGAAGGATGACTCTAGTTGCTTTCTGCTTCACAGCGATTAGAGGCATGTTTTCAGCCAAATGTAAACATTACGCTTTCTCAGAAATTGCAATGTTTTACATTATACAAGAAAGTGAACAGTGTCTATACACTAAAACCACAACATTAAAGGGTTACTCCAAACACTGTGACATACGTGATATACTGTGACATCTTCATTGATTGAGTGTTTCTCTTTGAAATGCTCCATATACAGAAAATATCCCCTTTAGTTGCCAGTGGTGTAACTCCACCTCCGGCAACACCATTAGCCAGTCCAGAACAGAGTTCCGGGCTGGCTAATGTCAGTTCTGTACAAAATTGCCATCTGAGGCCAGCACACTGCATGTTTCTAGCAGGAAGCCAATGGTGGCACAGCCCCTCTGTGCCACTCCTGTCTTCCTCTCAGTCTGTCCTCCATGACCTTCCATCCCCTCTAACAAGGGAGAGTGTCATCAGCCAAGGACGATCAGGCTGAGAGGAGAACTTAAGCTTGGCAATGGAATGGAGTTGACTTTTACTATTTATTTATTTATGTATATATATTTAACTTTGTGCAGGCGGACCACCTCAGAAAGTTTTACTCTAACCAAAACCAGAGTTGGAGTAACCCTATAAGATTTATTGGTTTTGGTTCTTAGAGTGTCTCTTTAAGAAATGTTTTAGTGAATGTTCTTCCACAACAGCTGGAATGCTATAAATTGTTCCCTACCATTCCAGCTGTGGAATGCAACATACATACACACACACACACACACACAAAACACAAAACACAAACAGACATGAAGCAAAAACATGCACACATACATGTTTCTCTTTTATTGTGTTACCAGAGCATGCATATCCCTGGCTGCCAGAGATTAATAGATTTTACAATCCTGATCAACACTATTTGTAGATACCAAAATAAATTCTCTCCATGTTCCCTTTCTGACTTGCTGGGAGAGGTGCTGACACATTAGAACTTTTCTAAAACTTTTCTCCACTTAGATCTGGACCCAGGTGAGGTTTCCTTTATTATTTAATTTACATATTGGCACCTTAATGTCACATTTAACCATCATCATAACCTGATCTTATTTATCTAACTTTGGTAGCCCTGCAGTTATTAACTGTTTGCATTCTTAAGTTTTGGAATAGGATCTTTATAAAACAGATTGTTATTATAGCATAGACTGTTGTGACTCCTAAAGGTATTAAACCACATTTTTTAAATTAGAAAAACCATCACAAGTTGTATATTGGTTCATGCATTTACCAGTGTTAAAAAGAAAATCAATAATAATAGTCTAATTTTGTAGAACAAAAATATAGGTTGTTTATGGTGTATCAGTGGGTGGCTTATACCTTCATAAATAAGTGCAAGAGTTGTGCACGGAGAAAAAAATTGGTTCAACCAAATCGATTCAAATGAAAAAAAAAATGTGTTTTGTGGTGTGAAATTCGGTCGTGTGTCATTTTGGTTTGGACAAATGTCCATACATACAATTTTGAGGGAATTGACTTGAATGAACCAAAAGAGGGAAAAAAATGGGCCAGTCAGTTTACTACAAATGATGTATTATGTTATGTATATATTTTGCTGTACATTACAGAGCCATGTAGCTCGCAGATCAACTGAGAAGAAGTAACCAATACAGGGAAAAAAGGAGAAGTAAAAAAAAGTCTATATTATATATTGATGGTTTATATTATATATTTATTAAATATTCAATATATAAATATAGGTTCTTTTTACTGTTCCTCCTTTTCCATTTCTTCTATTAGTAACTTCTCACTTCATCTGTGAATAAAATCAACATTTAGTGGCTGCCCCTTAACCATCAATCATCATTTTTTTGGTGCCACGGATGGAACTACGTCCCACGAATAGAATAAAACTGTTCGTCCGTTGTCTATTTCACTTGTTTCGTGATTTGTCCATATGATGCTTCGGACTCACGGGATATGAACGACCCGCCGATCGCCCAAACTTAGTACGAACCGAATGTACACAAATATAGCTAAGGTGGATATTAAAGTGACCCTAAACCAAAACATGGTATATACATCTTTCAACTATGAATATTAATTTATAAGTTTAGTGACATAATATAGAATTTAAAGCAAATGCAACCATCCTAGCATTTTGTTTGTAGTTATGCTTAAAATGTATTAATAAGTAGAGGCTGACTGAATGTTTTGTATTAATATTTTATTATATTGCGACTTATATTGTTAATGTACCTAGCAATTAACTTTTACTTTGAAAGGAATGCACTTTACCTTTTGTGCAATTTTACCCCACTTTCTTCACATTCCATTGTAGACTTCTTTAAGCAGGGACCTCATCGTTTCTTTTTTTTGTCGTCTTGGATATTCTTGCGTATTTATACACCCAATGCAGAGGGCAACAGAATATGTTGTTACTTCATAATGATAATATCTATTTACCCTATCACACAGATTCACTAAACTGTAACTCCTAGCAAATTGAAAATTAAATTGCAATATATCAGTTAAAATATCCTTTTTTTTTTTCTGTTTGTATAAATGTTGCTTTTTTTTTTACTAAGCACTGAATTGTTGTGAATTGAAAACTGAATTTGCATGGCATCAATGAAGGCCAAAATTGCAGAGAGAAAAAATTAAATAAAACAAATCTCTAAGGTAAGTTTTCCAAATTGTTTGTTTTATTTTTGTATTTTGCAAATTCGGTTTTCAATTATTTTAACTTTCAGAATACATTTTAAGATCACAGAAAGGAATAAAAGCAAACATAGTAATTTGCCAAAAAACACACATATATATTTCTTTTTAGTTTGTCAAAATCTGCTTGTTTATTTATTCACTAATAATAAGAAATAATATTCATCATTATCATAAGAATAAGATAAAGGTCTACTGATGTCAAGGTCCTTAATCCTTCCTTCCCAATCTCTATGGAGGAATTGTTAATCAGCTATTAATGTATTTAAAATGAATTAAATATTAAAAGTATTGTTATTGTTCAATGCAAGAAATCAGAATCACAGGAAAGAAATGTAAACGGGCTACAAATAGGGAATTATCCCTCGTTTAGCATTAAAATTCATTTAGATGAAATTGCCACAAACATTTAAATGGAAAGATTAGTTCCCCCTCACGCCTTATTGCACTCTCTCAATAGCCCCGTTAAGAATATTTTACATGTTGAAAATTCCGTCTTCTCTGACTGCTTGCTGTCTCCTAGCTACCCCCCTATTCAAAGCAAAAGCCACAGAGAGGTATTTGGCAAGCAGTCTGTGATTCATCCTATCTGCCCAGGAGAAGCAGAGGGACAGCGAGAGACTGCCTGTATTCTGCCCCATTCTAAGGAACCAAATGGAACACTGCACAACGCGCAAACACTCCAACCCCCTCTGTGCTGATCCACAGGCAAGCTGCCCTGGTTCGCAGGGAGTGTGAGCGTGGTTAACCCCTTCAGGGCAAAGCGGTTAGGCAAATCCTATGATATCATGCCAGTCCTGGCACATCATCTATCATTAAGAGGTTAATATCAGGCGTCTTTTTTTCTCCATGACATGACTTCCTAGGCGCCCACTGTGGGTTGTGAAAGGAGCAGTGAGGGTCCAGTTTAGGAGGTGGCCGTAGAGCAGACAGCCTTTGGTAAAAAAAAGAAAAAAAAAAAAAAAGAAGAGGTAGCCATTCCCTGCTGTGCTGCTCTCTCACCCAGAAGCTGTGTGTATGTGTGTGTGTGTGTGTGAAAGTGTATTGATGTGTGTGCTTAGCCAGGATTGAGAATATGCACAGCGAACACTGCCATCTATCGGGCATGAGTGGAATCACCGGTCACATAGTCTCACACCCTGCTAGATGACAATGTATAAAGTCTCTGCAAATGGAGGGGGGTCGTGAATAGAGAGCCTCCCACCCCCCCAAATCTCACCACGTTACGGCTGTCAATGACATTGTGAATATTTACCTGCCCAATCATAGTAATAATGATAAAGCAGCGATAATAATAAAGAACGAGGAGCAGGACATGATAGTGTATATGTCCTTGTATACAATGTGTACATAGAGCACGGTATCACTCCGTGTGACACAGAGCCGCGATACATTGCCCATTTACACATCGCTTTATAAAGAAGGAGCGGTTCAAGCCAGTTTGGCAAATCAAACACACACACAGAAAAAGAAAGAAAACAAAAAATAACAACAAAGTTTATCCCCTTCGTCTTCCTCTCCTTTCTTTCTCTGGCTTTCTCTCCTCCCACTTCCCTCCTTACATCACACAGCAGTCTCTCTCTCTCTCTTTGTCACTCTTTCACTCTCTCCACCACTCACTACTTCTCTCACTCTTTCTGAGACACACACTAACTCTCTCACACGCACACACACACTCTCTTTCTTTCAGACCATCTTTCTCTCTCTCTCTCAGACCATCTCTCTCTCTCTCTCTCTCTCTCTCTCAGACCATCTCTCTCTCTCAGACCATCTCTCTCTCTCTCAGACATCTCTCTCTCTCAGACCATCTCTCTCTCTCTCTCTCTCTCTCTCTCTCAGACGTCTCTCTCTCTCAGACCATCTCTCTCTCTCTCTCTCTCAGACCATCTCTCTCTCTCAGACCATCTCTCTCTCTCTCTTTGTCACTCTTTCACTCTCTCCACCACTCACTACTTCTCTCACTCTTTCTGAGACACACACTAACTCTCTCACACGCACACACACACTCTCTTTCTTTCAGACCATCTTTCTCTCTCTCTCTCAGACCATCTCTCTCTCTCTCTCTCTCTCAGACCATCTCTCTCTCTCAGACCATCTCTCTCTCTCTCAGACATCTCTCTCTCTCAGACCATCTCTCTCTCTCTCTCTCTCTCTCTCTCTCTCTCTCTCTCAGACCATCTCTCTCCCTCTCAGACCATCTCTCTCTTTCTTTCTCTCAATTTACTTCTCTCTTCACCCAGTCACTGCCTTTCTGTTTCTGTCTGTGTATGTCTCTCTGGTGTATGTCTCCTCACACAATCCTTTTCCTTTTATTCTTTTATTTAGGTTCAAATGACCCTCCCATGTCCTGTTTTACTACGTTTACTGACATCTCACTCTCTCTTTCTCTCGTCTCTCGTGTCTTCTCTCTCTGCCTGACTAATAAACAGCATCTTAATTCTTTCTCTCTCACACTCACACCAGGTCCTCTCACTGACTGATACAATGTAACACAGGGGTTTATTATACAGCTTGCCCACGTGTTTCACTTGTATGTATCTCTCTACCTCTACCTCATACATTACACATTGTCCTGTTTTTTTTTTTTTTTTTATTATCTCATGCACTCCCAGTACCACACCAGTCCCCTCACTTACTGACACACATAGAAGTTTCTGTTTATAGCAGCCCCACTCCCCCTTTATGGCATTACATTTAGCTACAGGACACTGTACCCATGTGGGCACCCTGTACCAAAATCAAAGCTGCTCTGGGTGGGTGTAGTTGGCATTCCCCAGAGGCTGCAGTTTGTGGAAAGGGCAAGGAGGGAATCAAGACATTCCAGAGGTGCATGGAGATATGTCCCTGAACTGGAGGGCAAGTTTAAAGCATGTGCTATGTTTCACATGACTGTGGAGAAATTAAAGCTAATGTTAATGAAGAAATTCTGCTCATTGCTCCTGTTAACAGGAAAGAAAAAGGACCATAGGAATCATTTAATCCCAGTGTTTTCATAGCACCGTTTATGGCTCAAATACACAACCCAGCACTCAACTGACTTTTCTTATTTTAGTACATTAAATATACTTAATTGATACTGAGCTAATTTATAGTATTATCTCATTATTCCCCACCTGCTTCCACTTTTCTAAAATAAAAACCTGCTCATACAGTATAAAAATACAAAGTGTAAACTATCTATCTATCTATCTATCTATCTATCTATCTATCTATCTGTCTGTCTGTCTGTCTGTCTGTCTATCTATCTATCTACCTGTCTGTCTGTCTATCTATCTATCTATCTATCTATCTATCTATCTATCTCTCTATCTATCTATCTATCTATCTATCTATCTGTCTGTCTGTCTATCTATCTATCTATCTATCTATCTATCTATCTATCTATCTATCTATCTATCTATCTATCTATCTATCTATCTATCTGTCTGTCTGTCTAATCAATCATCAATCTATCAATCTATCTGTCTGTCTGCACTGTCTATCTATCTATCTATCTATCTATCTATCTATCTATCTATCTACATCTATCTATCTATCTATCTACCTACTGCAATACTGTCTATCTATCTATCACCATCTATCTATCTATCTGTATCTCTATCTATCTATCTATCTATCTATCTATCTATCTATCTATCTATCTATCTATCTACCTGTCTGTCTGTCTATCTATCTATCTATCTATCTATCTATCTATCTATCTATCTATCTATCTATCTATCTATCTATCTATCTATGTCTGTCTGTCTGTCTATCTATCTATCTATCTATCTATCTATCTATCTATCTGTGTATGTCTATCTATCTATCTATCTATCTATCTATCTATCTATCTATCTATCTATCTATCTATCTATCTATCTATCTATCTATCTATCTATCTATCTACCTGTCTGTCTGTCTATCTATCTATCTATCTATCTATCTATCTATCTATCTATCTATCTATCTATCTATCTACCTGTCTGTCTGTCTGTCTATCTATCTATCTATCTATCTATCTGTTATTATAAGCATTTATAACAACATTTAATACAAAGCAGTTTGGGGAAAATGCTATTTCTTCCCTACTCCCAGAATTCTATGCAGAAATGTGCAAATTAGCATTCACAATTGGTCAAGTATATTCTAGGTTCTAAACTTTAAATATTTTTATACATATCCACACACATCATAACTTGGATTATACTATGTGTGTATATGTGTATTTGTGTGTGTGTGTGTGTGTGTGTGTGTGTAGCAAGTGGATATTTCTAGAGAGGTCTATTTATCTATATAGGCTACTTTATCTATATAGACTAATGTTACTTTATTTTCTATAAGTAAACAATATTTTTTCCAATAAATAAAAATGATCATTTATTATACAAAATATTAGAAGCAGAATTATTCACGGTTTCTGGCTTTGGGTGTACTATAGACAGCAAGTTTTGTGACTATCTAGAGATCTCTCCACACTTGTGGTTTTTAAACCTTGACAGAGAGCAGAGTCTTCCTTGTTCCCCAGCCACAATGTCTGCAACACATCGCACAGCAAAGTGCTTCAAACACTCTGCATTTACTGAACGGGTTAATCCCCCCAGTCCTCCCTCAAGCCCAGCTCTCAAGATGGGCTGCAGACATTATTTTTTTCCCCTTGAAGTCCCTCATAGCTCAGTAAAACTAAAATCCTGGAACACGATAGGGGAAAATGTCCTTTTTATGTGTTTCTAGCAGGGTAGAAGGAACTGAATGCAAATTGTAGCCAATAAATCATCGAAAAGAAAACGTAAAAACACAGCCCCGCCCCCCTCCACCCCCCCCATTTCTGTTTTAGTAAGGGTTACAAGGCAATGATTTAATAAATATATTACATCAATAGTTGATAAACTGGATGAGAAGATGGTTGTATTTTTCCTTATTTTATTTTATTTTTATTTTTTATTTTTTTATTATTATTTAAAGTCTCGAAAATAAATTAGTCTGTTTGGCAGCTGCTCCCAAGGCCAAAACTAACTCAGTCTTAGAGACACTGAAAAAGGGGTAAAAAAAAAAAAGGCCTGTTATTTTCCCCCCTTTGGTGCCAGTTTGGATGTCATCTGTTTCCTTGGTGACAGTGTGCAGCCCCCAAAGCCCCTGGGCTCCTGGTTTGTAAGAGAAAAGCATGCTATTTTTGTACAGTCATTTATCACTGTCACCACATAATGATTCCCCTTGCAGCTCCTTATTGATGTTTGTAATTGCA